TTATCGCACTTTTTTTCTTAATTCTGGCAAGGTAGAAATATCTGACAACATGCAGGCCTTGTACACTACATAGACAAGAGCTGGTCAAAATAAATATATAGTCGTGTTTATAGAAAGGTAACAAAATGATCTACGTTGTTATGGAACGCTGTTAGGCCTATATCAATGAAAATCACTTGACGGGCATTTTTCAATGAAAAAAGCGTAAAGCCAAATGACAGTCCCGCTGTAACTTGTCGAAGAAAACGATGTTCTCGGCTCCTGACCATTACCGCGCAGGCCGGTCTGGTCTCTTAATCAATTCTAATGCAATAGCAACTGGGGTATATGATTAACGGCTCTCGGGTTACTGTAATGTCTCTACCATATTGCACCGCGCCTCCTCCTTTAACCCGAGAAGCCAAGGGGACGTGCCCGTCCTCGGGTCATGATTGTTTCAAGATGTGGACTCCCTTTCTGCCTCTGGGCGAGGACCGGCGAGGTCCCTGCTACTGAACACTGTATACCCTGGCCAATGGCTGTCGTCAAAAAGGGAGGGAAAAAAGAACCACAGATACATACCAGGAAAGCACCCCACATAAACCTCAGCATTTCTATAGAATTCGGCATCATATTTTTAAATTAGTAAATGATCAATTTGATACATACTAATCCTAGATAAACACAGTCTTAGCAGATGGGTTTCTAATATCAAAACGGCTATTTCAGCTGTTAGCGCGAACAATGTATGCATTGTTGTAGGCTATGTTAAAACTATACGTGTTCATTTCCGCTACTGTGCTTCTAAAGGTTGCATCTCTTCTTACTCTCTGGGATCCGGTATTTCCAAAAAAATCGAGGCGAGGCAGAGACATAGCAAGAAACGTCTTAGTTTTAAAATTAACAGCATCAGTTTTGTGTGGCTGTTGCCCAGTAAACTTGACGTTACATATGTAATGTAGCCTATTTTCAGATTTATAAGACTTAAAATATAGATACTTGTGTGTTCCTCACTCTGACCGTTTCATAGCAGATTGCACATTTCTCAAAAAAAAAAAAACCCACCCATGTAGCCTATCAGACAACTCAATTTTGTTTCGCTTATAACTGCTGTGCTTTTAAAGTGATTTAGGAACCGGAATACACGTATAAATATGTACAGTAAAAATACACAAATTAAATATTTAATCTGGATGTACTTTATTACCTCTAATTCAGTGGTGTACATAACACCGCGCACTTTCAGCGGAGATATAATTTACTACTATTTCTGTACGCACTTAGTTTGCACCAGTCCGGTATAAGAATCCATTAGTAATCACTTAAAGTACAGTGCTTTGAACGCAAAGAGTATCCCCAAACAAAACAAACGATTGATTTAAACGAGTTAAATGGAATAAGATTATCAACTTAACGTAATTTCCTGACATGGTTAGAGAAAGGGCGCTTGTTTAAGAGCGAAGCAATTATCCCCCCTTACAAATCATTAATGTTTATGACAGTTGTTTTCTTTGCTCGCAAAAACCACTCACACGCGTATGTCTCAGTATAGTAGAGGTGGAGTGCCGGAAGCTCAAGTAATTCGGAATTAAATTATGTTATGCTAACTAGAATGAAACACTGTAGCCTACATTTATTTGTATATGATAAAATGTGCTCCTTTGTCAACATTTTACCAAGCAACGGAGTCTTTTTGTATAGATTGCAAGAAAGGACGCCCTAATATATAGAACATTATTTTACCAGCCAGTCCAGGATATAGTACTTACATGTTATCAGATTATTAAATATGCCCTCCTGTCATACACATCGCAGTCAAACACTGAAATCGGTATATACCCGGTACCCACACCTATAAGACCAAATGTAGCTTGGCAGAGAGAGGGCGCCAGTTAATTAACTACAAAGGGCTACACGTCTGTTTTCATACGCTTAAGTACCGATGAGTTCATTTTATTAGAATAATATTTCAAGTTATGTATATTTCCTTTTAAAAGTACGGACGGTTACTATTGGTTATTAAAGTCTTTGCATAAGGTTGATGGTTTTAATTACCTAGTAGCTCAATGAATGTAGACTGAACAGCCAAGACATATAAAGCCGAACTCAAGAAATGTAACATTTTTTTCCCTGATCAGCATAAAATTGAGAAAAAATGAGTATGTGTAGACCGGACAGGTGGTTTTTGGTATGACGAAAGAAGCTGTCAGGCTCAGACGGCTCTCAGACAAAGTAAAACTCCTCAAAAGTCATCGGAGAATCTTATCTCAGTCGCTCAGGTTACAAAGTGCGGGCCTGTTCCGCTGAATACCACTTGTCCGGTGCGCTGTGGCGGCCAGGCGGCCCTCCAGCTGTTAGTTTTGGTTCTCCCGCCTCTCCCATTACATTGCAGTACAGTAGGCCGAGGGTCTGGACGCTGCGGTCGCACTCCTCCACCCCCCGCCGTCTTTTTCATATACAGTTAAAGTACTGCTGCGCTTTCAATGCAAGACATGATCCCCGTCCGCGCTTTTAACGCAGAAGGACATGTGTTACGCATTGAACAAACGAAGCGCAAACGATTGCCGTTACCTTTTCATCTGACAGGCGCCATGCGCTTTTCAGCTCTGAAAACAGCTCAATTACGGAGAGCCGGAGTGAAAAATGTTTAATAAAGCCGGGTGGAAAAGTTGAAGTAATCCCATTGACCCTGTCCATGCTCCAGAAGCATATTGCTGCGATATAGCCTACCACCAGTGACAGCGTCCCTGCTGCCCTGTCTGATCTATGACTGTGCTCTATATACCTATTCCAGGTATGTGCTCTGGTCATTGCAGTGGGGCTGAACTTTTTTTTTTTTTATTTAAATACTTTTAAATTAAGCTATACATAAATGACATTATGTTATATTTATTTTGAGGTTGGAGGATGTCAAACTGCTGTTATTATTACACCCACTCCGGTCAGTTAGAAAACAGAGTCTGCTTGAAAAACAACATATCCAGCTATTTTCGGGATTTACACACGGACGCTTTCGGCCAGTCAGAAGAGGAAGCTTGTAAATTTTCTGCAGCGGTCGGCATGGAACGGTCCACCCTGCTGTTGCCAAGAAATATGTTTAAGCAATAAAAACTCATAAAATTACTATTTTTCTTTCTCTCCGTCGCCCCTTTTCGAGATCCCATTTATTTCACGCCATTGAAGCCGTCAGCAGATATTGCTCCGCAAAAGCGGTCGCCGATCGCAGCACAGACCGATGGTGCGAGTGCGGGAAAAGGTAACTAGGTGAAGCCGGACTTGCGTCGGATAGACAATCAGCACCAGCATCCGCTAATCCGGTTTCCATTACACTTCGAGAGCCGCAGGGCGCATTTTTCCTCTAATCGATTTCCTGACAGGCATATTGTGAAGGGTAGCAGGTTGATAGATTTTAAACGAAGAGGGCAGGCTGCGTTTTACTGGCAGCATTCTCCTTCGGGATGATCCGTCCTGGAGCAGCGGTGGGTCTTCGATCGGGCGCGGAATCTGGTGAACCCCGACCCTCATTAGCGTGACGCGAAGCGCCGGAGCGCCCCCCTCCCCAGGTCAAGTTACGCGCAGCTCGCCGTCTGCTGCCCAACATTAAATGTCAGCTTTGAAATTTGCAGAAGGTCAGAGGTGACCTTCTTTAATAAGCTATGTTCTGGTGGTGGTGGTGGTGGTGGTGGTGGGGGGGGGTCCTTTTTAACTGCGCGACTGTGCGTGTTTTATTGTGAGCCACTTTCTAAAAGGGACGGATAGTACACATCTGGTTGTTTTAGAGGGAAATTTCCTACCTGCAGGTTCCTGGTCAGGCATCATACTGAATATAGTAAAGATGATAACTTTGAAATGTGTCAATTCAAACAAATATTTCTTGGAAAGATATGAACCAGACTGAGTAACCACATGTCTGAAAGTGATACACTGGATTTGTACACATACACTAATTTGCCATCAGATATACACTTCAAAGCAGGCTCATAGACCTATAAGGAGCATGCATTAATAGTTTTACTATTTTTAGCCCCTGCGTATACAGAGACACGTGTGATGTTGCAGGTGGGCTGTCCGTTTAGGCTATCATAAGATCACCCCCGTCGACTCCCTCCTTGCCCCAGGGCCTCACATCTTAGATCTGCTGCATGAACCGTCTTTGTTGAGAACCTAACAATGCTGTTTTCTACGTCTTTAATAATTCAGGCCGGCTCCACTTGATACCTGGCAATCAGCTTCTCTAATGACTGCGGTGACAGGGTCACCTGGGCCCAGGTAACAGTTGCCAGGTTAACAGCATTCAGCGGGCAGTGACGTGCAGGGTCCCGCCGTCAAGAACTCTTCCCACGGCTGGGATCCTGTTAAGAACTGCTCCGGCTTTGTCTTGGGAAGGAATGGGACCAAACCAAGGGAGACCCACCTGGCATTCGTGATCAGGCAAGAGTGGCACACGTAGCTGTGTATCTGTAAGGTGGAGGGCCCCACTGTCCCATGTCGTCTTCAGCAGTGACGCCCCCCCCCCCTCATGTTCCACACAGTAACCCAGGGAAACCAGCACACTGTAGGCCAGCAAGGCCCCTGGGCAAGCACCCCTATGGACCTCCTGTACAGGACCTCTGGAAATCTCATAGCTGTTTATTTGAGTTACAGGCTGAGATGTGAATAAGGGTCTTAATGAAATCCAGGTTACCAGGCATGTGCAAACGATCACTGCAAAGGCACATGCAAACGATCACTGCAAAGTCTAGAGCAGGGCCTGGACTGGATGAATGCGTACTTGTTAGAACCAAGCAACCAGAAGTTTCAGTCGAAAGCCCCTGAAACAGGGAGGTGGGGGCCCTGGACTCACAAGGACACATTTTTACATTCAAACATGATTGACTCAGTCCAGAAACCAGACATAAGTTTCAACACTGAATATAACGAAAGTAGATTCATTTGAAGCCAGGGAACACTGCAAGGAAAAGGTTTTTCACAAATAAAATAACTATAGTAAAGTGTAACTTAAATTATCATTTAAACATACGTAAGGAAAACAAAGGCATTAGCATTTTTTTCTGTACGTATAAATATAAAGTTTTAATGGGAGTGTGGAATCTAGAAAAATAAGTTCACATAATTTCAGGATACAAACTGCCAAATCCAGCTTAAAAACTGCCAGTACAGCTTACAGATATATCACTCTTCTTTGGTGTGGTTAAATGGAGAAAGTTCATTGGTGGAGAATGTACACCTTATTTACTAACAGAGGAACAGAAGGCACATGTCAGGGCACACTGATGTCTTGCCACACAACGGAGCAGCAGAACCCCCCCCCCCCGGTAGAACACATCAGGCCAGAAGGGGCAGGACAAGGTCTGCGTGTCAAGCATGCCTTCCCTCTCCCCGAAGCACTTCACAGTCAGACTCTTCTCAGAATAATAATAATAATAAAAAAAAACATTTACATATGTGCTTGTTCTAGATTTTATACAATTAAAAGGAGTGATAGCAATTAAAAACCCATCAAGACACTGTAGCTCCCTCTGGTACAGCTGCGTGTTAAACCATCACGGCTCGGAGAGCTCTGACTACGTTGCAAGCAGTTATCACATGTGTATACAGATCGCAGGGTCAAAGGTCAAGGACCACTCAGTACATTCTACTGCACACATGCAGTCGGTATAGTGCAAGTTGGTGACACATTTGAAAGATTCTGCCCCAGTGGGGGGGGAGGCACATTTGTTTATGCATGATTGCAGCAGAAATATTCTTCACGGCAAGACTTGGTGACATTCTGGAAAGAAAGCTTGATAGCTAAAGCTGATGAACCTCTGTGTATCACCTCAGAAGACCAGACGACATGCAACTCCTCCTGTGTTCTGTTTGATGTGGCAAACACCCCGATGGTAAATGAGCTTCTGAAAGATCTTGATGACAGTGGGTTCAGAGGGGGGGCTGGTCACAAGCCCAGCACCTGCTTTTTCTAAACCCAATCCAGCAGGATGAGGTAAGAATCATTAGGGAGTGGTTGACGGCAAAACAGAATTTTTGTTCACATTCATGCAAACACCTTATATCCAAGAGCAGAGGTTATACTTCTCTCTTTTTGGAAAAAAACTATAGGTTTTGGTTGGAGCGAGTTTCTTGGAGCAAACATAGGTTGAGTGTATTCTGAGCTGTGATTGGGTCACTCAGCGAAGGCACTGGCAAATAATTTAACACGCAAAATGGGAAATAAAACATACTGAAATAACACAGTTGCACACAATGTATCTACTGCGGTGGACAGGTCAAAGGTCACCTATGTCCTCATCCATTTGCACATTTTGCAGCTTGGCCAGTTCCTTTCCCTCCGCCTCCATCTCATTGCACATGACCCGTACGATGTCGCCCACGCCGGTCCCACCCACTTTGTCCTCTGCAATTGACAGGAAGTTGCCGCTCAAGCTGGGAGTGAGTGGATGTGTGGAGGGGGGTAATGGGCTGTGGCTTCCATAGTCTGAGGGGAGTAGGTGATGGTGTGTTGGGGCAGTCTGGGCTGCTGGGGTGGAGCTGACAGACAGCACAATATACCCCCCAGAATCAGAGCTGGAGGACCTGACAGGGGGGGCCTGGCTGGTGGGCGGGGCCTGGGTGCAGTTCAAGGGGGCAGAAGGGTAGCCAAGGGGTCTGCCATGGTCCAGGTGCAGCTCAGCTGGATAGGAAAAGGCCCCTCCCTCCAGGGGCTCCTGCTTAACTACACTGGCCATGCTGTGGAGCACCGTGGTGCTCTGGAGCGGCGCCAAGACCACCTTGTCCTGCTGCTGTTGTTGGAGTGGAAAGGAGTCAGTACTGCCTGGTGACCCGGCACCTGC